GGAATTTCACTAGCTGAATGCTTTAAACGAATTCACTGATTGATTATCACTCCCGTTGTTATATCTTACGGCATGATCTCAACTGCAAAGAAAGGCCTAGATCCTATTTGACTCACCAGTATGTAATAATATATATTCTCGGACGACAGTATATTACATGAGGCATTTCACTTTGCAGGCAAGACCGGTGAGACTATTATTTATAGACGACCTTTGAGGGACGCCGAAATGACCCTGAGGGTGGACACCTACTGACTAGGAATAAATGAGGGTTATAGAGCAGTTGTAATTCGCATTTACAGTCGAAGGTTAGGGTAAAAAATTAGATTTAGGGTTTTCACCACGAACTGACATCAGTTATAATGATAGAACTTTATTCAACCAAATGTATGGATGAATTTCGCGCCGAAATTTGTGACTTGTTATCTTATACCTGGTTGGTTCGTTCACAAATTGTGGTCTCACACACAATGATTATATAAACAGGGGATCAATTTTCGCATACTAGAATAACTGTCAGTAAGACTCCAATGTTCAATATAAGAGTTGGCGCGCTTAGCAGAGTTTGCGTCCGATAATGAACTGAATTAAGGTCCTGAGCAGTCATTCGAAGATGACAACCTCATCGTATTATTTTGTGCTTTTTGCTAGTGATAACAGATATATTCTGGGGGTATTAGCGATGGGGAAAGACGAAGTCATTTGTTCCGCAGATGTTTTCTGTGGCAGACCATGAGGGTGCTGAAATGGTAGGGAAAAATAGAAAAGAGAAACAGGACAAACAGTGTTCATGAAGTTTAGTCACTTATGATGGAACAATTAAAGCATGACTATTAAGAATATAATATATAGACAAATCAATTAGATTTAAGATGACAGGTATTGGATTTTGGCGTGAAATTCACTCACATATTTGTCTAAATGGCATTTTGGCATTTCAACTGACCTAGGTTCCTGATGAAAACCATAAATGTAATTCCAAACCCGAACCATCGACTGTAAATCACAATCTTTATTCCTCAAACTGCCTCATAACCTCCATTTAGCCCTAGTAAGTAGATGGAAATTCCCGAAGTAATTAGAGCATCGCTAAAAGGTTGTCCATAAAAATTATAGCCTCATTCTCATTCTCTTTTCCTAGGTCAGTTTCTAGGTAAATATATTACATCGGGATAATAAAAACAAGCCAAAGTATGACACTGAATGAATAAAGAATTGTACAAATAAAAGTGATTTAAAAGAGCTGAAAGTTTAAGATTTTACGTTTTTAAAGGTTAGTAAGAAAACCAAATGGCTGTTTTTCGTCAAAATCTATAAAACACATTTTCTATTCTTATAACTTTCGTGAGTGAACTCATATATAGCGTAATTGTCCCGTCTTATTCGCAAAAGGATTTCTCAGTAGGAAGTGAAACAAATTCAGGGTCACAGACATTAGTCAAAGAGGTGTTTGGCACAAGAAATCGGTATTTGGATTGAGGTTATCCCCCAGCCAGTCAGTAACGCCACCTTTCCCCTGTTTGTGATGCTAGTCTGTCCTACATTTGTGGTATGTATGAATGCTGCTTTAATGTAAGCTCTGTGTTGCAAACATTCTTGGAATTCATCCATTCTATTGATTCCATGTCACAAGCAAATCAGGCTAAAGGTTTTATATCGTGGGTTGGACATCCGGTTAGTATATCACACTTCTATGATGTTAACCAACCGTACGAGTCACAAGATACTGGTCAGATAATATGTGGTCTAGGAATGTTATGAACGGGTAGCTGATCAAAGGACATAAATGAATAATATAAGGCTGCGAAATGTATGAGTAAGACGATAAGTAAGAAAACGAAATATTTGGATGACAGCAATTATTTTTAAAGGAACATAAATTTGAACTAAAGGGAATCCACAATTATTCAGGATATTCTGAGCATCCTATAATCGTCGAACAGCACCCATAGGGTTGGTGAGTTATCTGTCTGCGAACTAGGGAGAAAAAAGTTGTTTTGTTCAGTGTTCGTGCAAACGAGGTTTGAGGATGATTATTCATGATTAGTCAATGATCCTCAACTAAGAGATATGGTAGTCGTTGAAGGGGATAAGAATATTTGACTGGGTCGTGGTACAACATCTTTCAAAAGTCCAATGCATGCAACACCATCAATCGTTGTGTGGATGAAAAGAGAAACACGAGAAACATGATTATTTAGTAGTTATAAAAAGGGAATACGAGGTATATAACAACAACAACATGTAAAATGTGAAATCTTAAAGGTTATTTGACAAATGACTATTAATGGTTTGTGACGTAGTTGTTACGTCCCAATAAGAACAACGAATGGTAACTATTTAGATCCATTTATGGATCAATACTATATGTACATTTTTATCGTATAGTTTTTAATAACTAAATTGTTCATATCCATGTCCATCTTATTATGAGCTTTATTTTGACCTGTGAACTATTATTATACAATTTACCATTCTTGAGTTATGGCCTGTCTATTAATTACTACCTCCAGTCGCAGTCACATTTGGCTAATTCTTGTACAAATGTTTCATATTTTATGGTACGTTGTAGTCTGTCTGGTTGGTATACAAACCCAGTATGCTTGAAATAGATGATTCATATCGCAGAGGCTGAGGTTGGTGTCCTGGACTTAACAGGCTGAGCTGGGCAGGAAGCAGGACCAATCAGGACACTAGACTGCTCGCATGGGTTTCATGAGTCACTGGTCCGATCGATAACCCACTGCTATCTGATTGGCGGTATCGTTGCGTTATACAGTAAACAGGACACACAGGTCACTAGTTATAATAGTAGCCACTAGGTGCCAGCTGATTATTCATTCACAAGGTTAAATGTAGGACAGCTCATATTTACATGTAGCTTGGCTTAGACAAGCCCCATAGAGCATGCTAGAAACTCCATATTGCTCCACAAGGCAGCCTAGAGAAGATTTAAACTGAGTTAGCATTTCATCTGATATTTACCGGTAACCCATTCCAGAGCCTTGCATAGCGTGTGACAAAGAAAGTTAGTCTTAATTTACCTAATGTTCTCGATATCCTGAGCACAAAATCCTGATCCCAAAGTTCAAAATTAGTTTTTGATTGAGGTCAAAATCACAGCTTTTGGTAAACCTAAAGTATCACAATTTAGCGTAGTTTTATTATATAGAATTCAGTATAGTAGGGTAAGGTTAAGTTTAATTCGTCTTAGCCATCACCGATCCAAGTTCCACTCTTCACACCCATCTTCATATGATGTATCAGGCGTAAGAAGTCTTGGTAAATGATGTTGCATTTTCTCAACTTTCTGTCGGTCTAAGGAACGCATGCAACTAAATATAAATGTGCAGTATTCCAGAAGGGGCCACACACACTTTGTAGAGTCATTTTGAATTTCTACTTCGGGCTCGTCAAAAATCTTACTGTAGTTGCAATATATTCATTAATCAAGCGCCATATATATACGACCCTAGAGATAAAGTATGCATGGTCCAAATTGAACGAAACAACAACTGGACAAAACTTCTTCCTTTTCAAGTATACATTAAAATGGGACTGTCTTCTCTTCAAGATATGCGTGTCATATGGACTACATATGTTTGCTAGAATTCTTGATGAAGCCCTCGCTTGCAGTGATCTAGTACTCGCGAACACATCTGCATCCCACTCAGATATCAGAGGCTCCCCATAAATCTAAATCACGTCAAACTGAGTCGCGCTTCCCTTTGCTTACTACTTTGAAGTCCATGATTTGCAATCTGTCTGATAAACTTGTAAAAATATCATTTATAGTATTAGTGTTTTCCTGGAAAGCATGAAACGCAGAGCATTGAGTAAGACAAAATATTGCGTCTAGATGTAACCTCGAAACGACCTAACATCACAAAAAGAGTAAAAGGAGTTACTGATGGTTAGGGCGACGAATTTAATTTACCCATGTTTGTGAGGCAGAAAATTCTGTGACTGAGGAAGAGGTGATCAATCTTTTGAGTTGGTACTCCTATGCTCGATACTCAGAGTCATGTTTCTAGTGTTATGCTGGATTCGTCATTTTACCATAAATTGCTAACGAAGGCTTTTGCATAATGACCTGGTGACTGGCACCAGATGAAAAAATGAGAATAATAAAAATTGTTAAGTGATAAAAGATACAGCTATTAGCGTTTCTTAGCAGTTTACTTTCCTTCATTGTACTCATTGAACATTACTGACACATAAATCTAGTTGCAAACATGTGCGAAAATATAGTGCTGATGTCACAGGTATTCAGTGTTTGACAACGCTTCTACCAGTAACACCTTCTAATATATTTCGTTCCCGCCCAGAGAAATCAAAAGACAGAGTCGAGGAGATCGGAAGAGTATATTTGGCGATGACCAATATATCGGAATTCTCTGATCTAATCTGGCTAGCGATTGCGGTTGATGTTGAGCACGGCGTTACCACACGTGATCTGGTGCGGATGCCTGACCGAGCGCCTTCAGCTAGGTGAGTCCACTAAAACATATGGTCAGCATCCAATGTCGAAAACTTAGTGCTATTTATTTTGGGGATTTATTTACCGCTACAGTGCAATTTATTTTCATTGAATTATTCGAGTTAACAACCCTACTTAGTAAGCATCTTATCTGTAAACCAGTGTTGAAAATTATTAATTATGACTATAGAAACTGCTTGTACACCCTCCGTGCTTAGAACTCACTTGCACCAAAATTCAAATAGATTTTACCACCTACAAACCGGACTTTAGTTGATGTTTACCCTGTTCGAATAAGTTCTGTATTGAATAACAAAAAGTAGGCTAACTTTACAAGGAATATATCGGCCGTTGTAAACACAAGAACTAACTGAAGGCGATTTGTATTTTGGATGGTTCATAACTTTGCAAACAGATTTAAAAATCCATAGTTTCTGGTACTAATAAAAAATATTCCATCAACATCACCCATAATTATTCCACTTATACTCAAAGTGGTACTTAAATCATTAATTGTTCGCATAAAAACACAATAAGAGTACTTGAAATCTCGACTACAACTTTAATATGAGGTATTGAACACTGTACAAAGTTTTAGTTATTTTTCAGCGAAAACTATGACCTACGAATATAAAGTAACTAATCAGATATTGTTGTCCAATGAACACTTCTTATAATTATTATGGTAGCCAATACAACAATTACTACGCATCAGAGTAAATCAAAATCTAATAGTTATTTATTTTTAAAGACACAGAATTCCCTCTGATGTGAAAGCTCATGCGTGTTTAATGATCTTAGCATGGGGTTTCTGTAACCCAAATGCAATCATCATTTCGAGACACTTCAAGAAAGGTTGGCCAGGTCGGACAATAAATAACTTCGCTTACTGGTTTCAGTTTCACATTATTCTGCAGTCATTCACCCTTGCATTCGTTTTATTGGCACTAATGATTATTGTTGTACACGTTATGGGCTACTCAAATTTAAGTGATCTTCCCTTCAGCGCCCACCCAGCTTGTGGATTTGCAATCGTTGTGCTTACTTTCTCAAATGTAGGTGGAAATAGTACTAATAGAGGGTTCAGCCTATTGTTGCATGGTTTCTCTGCACGACAAGTGGTCGTCAGAGAGCTATTACGAAATATGTTCATCAGGTGGCTGGAATTTTGTCCCAGATGCTTGCAGTCCCGACGGCCTTAATCGGACTACAGATGCCTGCTTTGGGATATGGTATTTGTTCATCAAAAGTATATTCGACACTTTTTGCTATTACTGTTGTTCTTAACGTCATCGTTGAAATAACTCTTGAAGTTATTGGATACAAAATCGGAAAAAATGTCAAAAGTAATTGTGAAGACCCTGATTTTATTTATTGTTACATTTATATTAGTTGTGCGGTCAATTTTAAGCATTCAAGCTGATGAAGCTGACAAACTACTGGCTCGAATTGAAGAAGTGAGTTAAACTAAGGAGAGATTTTCGATTTGAAATACTTTTGCGTATTTTTGTCTGAATTATTATTTTCTTTCTCAGATAAAACCCATTGGCATAATAAATCAGAAAATTAGTACGTTGTTCTACATCTCAGCTGTCTAGAAAATATAAGTCTAAACTCCTTTAAACATGATGAGGGAAAAGCAATTGTATTATCTATTTAATGGAACGTTTAAAAATAGATGAAAGCAGAGTGTGAAATATCGCGAGTAATTAAAGTAAAAATTAGTGGTGACATTTTGTATTTCAATTATGCTTTCTGAACAAATATCTGTAATGATTGTTTAACCATGTATTTAATGGTACTGCTAATTATACCATATTTACGCTTGTGAACGGTTGAAATTTATTGATTTATACTTTACAGCATTTTGATATATTTGCCAGTCGATTTGAAAAACGGCAACTTCAGTCACCAAACTATGAGTTGGCCCCCATGATATGCCCCTTTAAAATTGCTACTGTTAGTTGTACTTGAAATAAGATTGAGTGAGTTACGCGAACTCCTAGCATTTTGACGAAACTTTCGGAGATTCAATTAACTGTACGTCCTTGTAGCAGTGACAGAAATGTCGGCCCTCATTTTCATTAGGAAAATTTTTTAATCCATCTGTGTTTAGAACTCTGTTGATAGTTTTATACAATCTAATCTGGACCTTCATTAGCTTTGTTTTAGTAAGTAGTTTGCTTTTATCACTGCTGTCGATTTTATCTGATCATACATTTCTATATAGAATAAGAATAGAAACATTTGCAAGAGTAAAATCCAATTTTATCCTTTTTGTTAACTATTGCGGTTCGAACGGATGTGATCATTGAAAGTTGAGGTCATTGTGTCTCTAGGACAGCTATGTATAATAAAACTTGAAATGAAGGATGTAAGCAAACACAACAAACAATGTAAGAATAAGGAGCAATACTACAAGAGATATCACCTTTAATAAACTATCGTTACGAATATTTCAAGAGGCTTGGCATTTTAGTTAAAGATCTTGCCATTATAAGGGGAGTTGTCATCAGGAGCATATTCTCATAAAACTTTGATATAAGAGGTACTTCTGAAATAACTTGAAAATTCTCATAATATCTCCCTTTTCAAAGAAAAACAATATGAAGTGAATAGAAACATGTAAAATCACAAAAATTCCGTAACTGGACCAATAATTCTGTCAATCCCAGTAAAAGTCTTATTTTAACGGTAACGAAGTGTTCGCACTTATTAGATTAGTTCTTAATACACTTAACTCGATATGATAAATACAGGAAAATATCTTTTAAGATCAGCATATTTTATTTTGCGATACAAGAACTGAATAAATTGATAGTTAGTTCTCAGAAAACATTGTTATCAGAGTTTGCTACTATTTCATCAAGTTACTTTTTAAAGTTTATGAAATTCAGTAATACTTTTTGGTGTCTTTTGTACTGTAACTATATACAATTCCGTGTTTTATAGTGCATCAGTTTTTGATTATTGTATTCAAAAATCACGCTCCTCATTAATTTCTTGAGTAAAATATCAGGACTAATTACAGTCTCGTAACCTTGGTATGCACAAATATACGGTAGTAGTAACACTGAATTAATAAAGTTATACAAATATCAAACAGGAGTCACCTACTATATCGTGCCACAGAGAGACGTTACTATTTGCTGACTTCTTGAAAAGCCATCAACATTTCTTCCCCTGTTTGTCGTTAAATAGCCTACTACTTGGGTACCGTTCTTGTCACTAACAAATGCACAATAAGGAGAACCTTCCTTTCAGTTAGATCGGTAACGTATCAACTGGAAGTAAGTATAAGCCAATAGCATATCAATCTACAAGTTTATTTCTTTAACTAAGATAAAGTTTAGTCCAAGGCTCCAAAATAATTATTTTTAGAAGTGTCTAAAGTACCACTTGGACTATAAGTTCAAAAACAGATTTTAAAACTGTGATTAAATTGAAAATGTTTTGCTTTAGAAAATCCAATGGTATCTACTTTTATTCCGGTGTTTTCACATCTGATCATTAAAATATAAACGTTCACAAAATTACCCCATATACCACTTTTTTTAAAACAATACGACTTTATTTTCCGTTGAAACACTTTTTTGCCCTTCAGAATCTAAGCAGGTAGGTCAGAAAAGTTCTTAATAAGTAGCTCTTGCTTCGGACTAACTCAGAAGTGCAGTTGAAGAGTATTAGCTTTCAGACTACACTAAGTACAAAAGACTGTATCTTCTATCTTGGAAAACTACGTTTTTTATGTAATTAAGCTATTTTGATCTCAACGTGCTATCAAAACTGTAAAACACCTTACTATAATAACCAAATCATTTTCAAGAAAACGATATGATACGCATTAAGCTTTAGGCATTATTATATCATAAAACGATTTTAAATATTTTTAGCATTAAGAAACATTTGATGGTTAGTGAAGTCTACCATCTTGTAAGCTGTTTTAATTTGCAATAGTGTGCTGTAAAGTGTGATGTTACGTCCACTCTGTGTTCTAGGATCTAGATCTTGTTGCGTTTATCTGTGCTATAATATACTTTAAAGTTGGTTGCATCATTGTATTTTTCAAACATAGCATCAGTCAGTGTTTATTACTTTCAAGCTTTTCATGAACAGCTTTGTTAAATGCAACTGATTTACTAATGCGTTCCGAAAAATGAAGATGAATTAGTCTTATTTTGAAGAATTTTAGCAAAAAGTAATGAATATATTTCAAGTATGCAACTCAGGTTCTAAGATTTTATCAGAATGCAGAACAGTTTTATCGAAATGTGCTTTATATTTGAAATATTAGCAATAAAATTAACCATATTTGGATGTTTGTTTTATTTATCGGACGATGTTACTCCATATAAGATGGGAACTGAACTAATTACAATTAAATAATCATCAATTAAGATGATATAAAATGCTCAGCCAACAAATGTAGCCTCAAATCAGTAAATTTATCATTGTTAAAATTGAATATTTAGTCTTTCAAATTTATCAAACTGTAAATATTGCATTATTATTGTATAAGTCTGAAACAAACATTATCAGGCAATAAGTTTTTGCTTCTTAGCTTACGAAGAATAAAGAAACCCGTTTGTTTCAAAGTACAATAATGAGTACACAAGATATTTGAGTTTCTGGATTATCTTCACAGATTCTCATTTGCAGGCTCTATTTATCAATACGTCTTCAGGTAACTGCACACATTTTGGCCAGTCGTTATGAAATTAGATGAAGATTGTTTGATGTTTCGCAAAACTTTATTTGTATCTTAAAAATGAATATTTGCAACCAGGTGAAAAAAATCACGAGCTTGTATGTAGTTTATATACAAAACGTTTGCAGCGGCTTGATAAAGTAAATTACTAATATGTTAATTTGTGGTTCATTTAATAACTAAGATGTTTACACTTTTTAAAGCTACTTAGCACACTTATTTTTTCGGTCACTTCGGAGACTTCTTCGATTTTCACTTATAAAAGAAAAAAATGCGGCTTTTTAATAATTAAAATAATCGTATCAAGATTTAAGTGTTAGTGATTAAAATTCAAAAAAGATCCTAGCGTTCACTATCGTTTCCGCAAAGGAAAAGCTAAAAGCGTTTTTCTACATCGCTTTGGATTATTCGTTCTCACACTGCAGCCTATATTGGGATATTCAATTTTACCGACTATTATTATCACTCTCAATAAATTATTGTCTATCCTTTCATGAGATTGGACTACAAGTTTCTTTCAGCCGATATAGCTTTTAGAAAAAAAGAATATTAGACTGTGGAGTTTTCCCATTAAAACACTTTCCAGAATACTGTGTCACTGCCTGCTTTTTATCGAGTAAGAACAATTTTTGTCCTCAATATACGAGTTTAGTCTATTCATTTAGTTACTGTAGACACAAGAATTCCACTTGGATTTTAGAACATATAAGTATCTTTATGTAAGTAATTGAGATAAAGATATATTTCAGAAGCTTGTTCACAATTTTAGACTAGCTTATCATATAGTACCAACCAATATATGTGTCAAGTAACTTCGTAGGTTACATTATTTACAAGATCGCCTACTTAAAGTCATTTATAAGCCCTACTATGTTAAATAAATAAACAAATAAGTAGTACAATAACTATTCATACACAAACCACCATGTAAAGGCGTGGTTTTCTAAAAATAATTTCTAAATGTTAGATCATATATATGAACATGAGACTGTCCATCGAATTAAAGTGATATGGAACCTTTTTTCTTGAGAACTCTAAAATAACAAAAATATGAAAGTTTTAAATCAAAAATCCCAAGTGAGTGATACCATTCATCTTACAATTAATCCTGCAAGATTTTGAGATAAATGTTGAGATGTCTGGTAGACGGATGTAAAGTAAAGAACAACTAGAAATTTTATAAGACGAAGAACTGAAAAATGAAACTTTCCCAAAGCGACTTTTAAATATTCTGAGCCATCATTTATCTAAGGTAATACGAGATTCTTATTATTTAGTATATTTCTAATGTTATCACGGAGTAGTAAGACAGGTAAACTTGCGAAATTAGCTGCTATAAGCATTTCTGTATGATTATCACTATGATACACACTATAAGGCGTTTGCTAAGCAATTTATTATTTATTTTCAGGATCCGAAACATGGAGCTACATTTTTAGAACACTATAGGATAGAACTTGTAAGTTGTCGCAAAATTTTCTGATATCTATTTGATTTATCTCAAAGATAATGAGTTTCGTGAAGCATACATAACAATTTGCAAATACTGAACACCTCCATTTTATAGTTTGGCCATTTAATTGCGTTTGTTCGCTGTAATAAGTGTGTGTTCAGAACAAAATGGTACTGTTTATTGGCTTTTCAGTAAATTCATGCACAGTTTTCTGTAGCACATTTTCAAGCCCTAAGTAATTTTATAACTGAAATTTTCTGCAACAATCAAGACCTATCGATATTAGTACACTTCGATCATTCCACATAAGTAAGTTCACCTATCTGTAGGAACGGTAAACTTGTATAAGAACAGCAAAACTTCTATCACCTTGTAATATAACAATAGTTTTGTTAAACAATTGTATTATATTCAAGAAGCGAAATAATTTCAAGATTTAGAGAATCCTCTATTTCTTGATATCACGTTTTTAAAGATGAGGAAAATGCTTTTAGTCTGTGTATTAGCATCTGAAGGAAGGCTTTGAAAGTGTATCAATTAAGTACTGGATCAAACTGCTTATTTTCCGCAAATTTTGCTTCTAGATTACAAACTAGCAACCGACAAGACTCACTACTCTACCTATGTCTTGGACTTAATGGAGTTGGAATAATGCAACCCTTTTGGGGACGCTAAATTCTCAAGCTCAATACTTATGAAGAAATTAACTTCAAAATTCACACATTGGCTTTTAAGTGGATTCTATTCATCGACTTTTTGTTCATTTCTCTTTTCATTGAATCATATATGAAGGAAATTTATTGAGCTTCAGCGTATTTCAATGCGTCAATAATTTTCACTGTTATTGCACATTCAAGTGTTGGCTACTCTCCTAATACATCCTTTTATCAATAATCACTGAAACTAATTGATGCAGGTTGGGTAGAAATGGATGTGAATTAATCTTCTTTGTTCTTCTCCAACATTTTATTCACAAGATTTGAAGTGATTTTAGCTAGAAGAGAAGAAAATGATTGTATGTAGTACCAAATTTGTAGTTAGAGTTATCGTTGTAGTCTCGTGAATGTATCGTAGCTAATGATGGTTATGAAAGCTCATGAAAAATAGATTAATGACATTTTAAAATTGCTTATTACCAACGTCAATTCATGTAACTTTGCGTTACCACTATAACTCCGATTCATTTTCAATGCTGTACAATCGCAACTATATATACGTATTTTTCAGGATGATAGTGATAACAATAATAATAGTAATAATAAACTTCTGCTACACATGGTAACAATGAGGTAGAATAGACAAAGGTATTAAAAAGTTTTTTTTAAACAGGGAAACTAATAATAGTTTGATTGTTATGGACTTAAATATTCATCATAAAGATAGATAGGGAAATTATGATTGGGAAAGGATGGCTCAGCACGATAAGATGAAATGCTGAAATTGAGATGGAACGTAATCAGGAGGAGCATAGAAGCAGAAATAAATCGATAGGGAGGTAGAAGGTTTAAGGAGAAAATGGAAGGGGAAGCAGATGGTTGTAAAGAAAGGAAAGTATGAAGAGAGAAAAATGAGATTTTAAGATCATGTTCGAGGAAGAAGTTGTACCGATTTCTTTTGGACACACAATTCTGGTTTGCACAGATGTATGGCTATTGTTTCGGCAAAGTTAAGAAGATGCAATATAACTGCCGTCGGAAGATTCCTACTTACCTTGTAGATGGCTTTGAACGCAGAGTCCATCTTGATTGAGTGACCTGTGTTCACAAGGTGCTCGATTGGGCCGTTTCAACCTCTTTTTAGCCACACCGAGTAATGTTCTTGAATTCTTTTGGATAAATTACTCATCGAACGACCTGGCTCCACATGGGTGGGTAAATTAGTAAGTGCACATTGAGTTGGTCAGATGAGATAATTTGTCCTTAAGATTATTGATGAACGGTGATTGGCCGGAGAATATTATCCGCAACATTGATGCGAATAACGAAACAGAGATTCTCCTCTTTAAGACATTTGCAGCTCTATCACCCTTAAAGTCGATGTTAACGTATAATGTTTCCTTTTCAACTGAAGTTACTTGTGTTTTAGGCGGTTTCAGTTTCATGTTTTTGTCAATGAATATCAAACGATACCCGCTTTTGACAAGTATTTCCTTCGAGAGGCCCAGTTCTTCATCTAAGACCTCAGGACTACAAATACTTTGTATTCCCATAACGAGTGATATGAGGTTTCGTTTTCGATTAATGGGGATACAGCTGTAGGAACTTGGGTCTCTTATAGGTAGATCTGTTTAGAGTTTCACCTTGTTTCCGTTTCATTTCCACATCAAGAAAGTGAACATTTAGTTTGTTTTAAACTTCAAGTGTGAAATTTATTGCTGGGTGACAGTTATTAAATGTTTTCAGAAGATGACTCATATAATATTTGTTTTCACAAATGATAAAAATATCATCTACGTACCTTTTATACAAGTGAAATTTTTCGGTGGTCGTTTTAAGTCAAATGTTTTCTAGACTGGCCATGAAGCAATCTGCTAGTAATGGACCAAGAGGGGATCTATTGCTATGCCACCCTTTTGCGAATAAATTACGTTGTTGAATGTAAACTGTGCATTGCAATTGCAACGTAGTAGTAGTTCTTTCAAATATGCTTCTGGTATTTTGATATTAATCCCGTTATTATTTATGTAACCGCAGATAAAACGGAAACACAACTGACTTATTTCTGTTTCTATGCTCCTCCTGATTACGTTCCATCTCAATTTCAGCATTTCATCTTATCGTGCTGAGCCATCCTTTCCCAATCATAATTTCCCTATCTATCTTTATGATGAATATTTAAGTCCATAACAATCAAACTATTATTAGTTTCCCTGTTTAAAAAAAACTTTTTAATACCTTTGTCTATTCTACCTCATTGTTACCATGTGTAGCAGAAGTTTATTATTACTATTATTATTGTTATCACTATCATCCTGAAAAATACGTATATATAGTTGCAACTGTACAACTTTGAAAATGAATTCACCGAAAGGGGAAGCCTCCTCTGAACCAATCTTTCTTATTCAATGTTTCAATGCGTGTATTTCGTTTAATTGATTGACAGAATTCGTTTACTACTGAGGAGACGGGAGGATATAGGTAAATTTAGAATTTCTAACTAGACTATTTCAGCAGAAACAAATATTTAAAAAAAGGTTCAAAGGATAAATAACTTGGTTTAGTATAATAAAAAGCCACATTCACTAATTATTCCTATTATTTCATATAAATTACATTACCACAACTGTTTTTTTCTCCCTGGTTACATAACTGTCATCTAACGGGTTATAATTATTTTTTCCTAGAATCAAAGGTCAAAAAGAGGTGTACCAAAAGAAATTACCAAAAACCATACAGTAAGTTCACTTTATTTAGTCAAACGTAATAGTGTTGCAGGTTGATCGGATTATATTTGAAAAGTCAAGCTTATCCTACATGTAACTCAATGACGGCTAATTATTTTTCTAAGCATATGATTAGAAAAGTAGAAGGTACCGTTTGATTAATATGAACATGCCAATCAAGTTATAAAAAACTACTTATAAGAGGAATCCATCTCATATATATATGATGAATTATAAGCTAACGATTAATTGTACTAGTATATGGAGAATTGTAGAGACTAAGGAGCTCTCATAGTTTAAATCATGAATTAATCTCAGCTAAACCATATTTAAGAACCCAGGATGATTGAACAGTTGTTTCGTCGTAATAAGAGATCCCTCAGCAGTGTGAACCCCTGATGACTCTGTATCTTGGAAGCAAACTCATGATCTTTGATCTATGGCACGAACCCTTAAACTATAAACCACTGAGCCAACATCCAACTGTGTATGTGTCTTGCCTCGGCCATTTAATGATACTGTACAATCCTCATCCATTTCCTGTTGTGGATAACTGTCTCACATCTGAAATGATTGAAATACACCAGTCAGAGCTTTCACCAGAACTCCAGGAGCAACCGAAAGCCCTGGGCTTGGTTCGTTGATGCATATCACTGAGGAGTCTCATACTAAAACGAAACAATTGTCTAGTGCTTTCATATTATTAACGTTGATCTCGCTTAAATCAGTTCATGACTTAAACTCAGAGAGTTTTTGTATGTTTGTTGGAATTTGAAGTTATGTGAAGTTGGACTACATAATTTTTAGGCAATAATAACTAGTCAAATTTTAACAGACAGTTATGAGTTAACCTATGTTGCCTCATATATCATGATCGTATAATGTTAAAAATGAACTCCATGACAATGATCACTTCACTTTATAAAAGGAGATCTAATGACCTATGGGGCATTATATTACCCTCGATGATTCACATGGCTTATGATCCTCCAGGAGGGCTAACAGGCGATGATTCACAGCTTGTAATTATGTAAACTCCACATCAGTTGTCTTGGTTAAATCCTTATAGAGTAGCTGTAGTTCGTGGATAAATTATTTCACCAACACTAACCAACGTAGGCTGGACAATTTACCGTCAACATCCATATACAGTGTAAAACCACTATTTCTGAGGGTTGTATTTGAGAACTCTGCTTTCCATTCATCCGACATTTGAACATGGTTTTGGATTATTAGTAGTGACAATGATCAATATGCTGCCACCTTTAAGTACCTGTGTCATTCAAATGAGCTGTATACAACTAAGGTTGTGAAATAGATTTCATGTATTCCGCATGCGTAATAGCATTATAACTAGTAAACGAGTATCTTTTTTTCTCATAAATGGATGATTATGACAATATTTAATTAACATATTTGCAACTTTTCAAAAAACTATCTTAATCATAAATTATTTAGTTGATGTACTGTAGAAAATACTACAATTAGGAATCAGGCTTTTCAAAGAAATCTCTATTTCAACGGTTTATCTTGAAAATTCATATGGACTCATCTCTTTGAAATATATTTGTTCATCAGCATAAGACATATTAGATACGCCTTATATTTTACTGTCAGTCAGTCAAACACCACTTAGAATCTGGTACATACTTTAATATAATAAGCCAAGTCGTAAAAACTGTTACGCATGGATTGAATAAAACTTACGACTGTTACCACTAGTGGAGGAGCATGGGTCGCTCGCCAGCTTTCTCCATCAAACTCTGTTCTGGGCAATCCTCTCCAGCTGTTTCCAACTGCTATTCAGTTTTTTTATGCCTAGATTAAATTCCTGACGCGATGCGTTCTTTGGTCCTCCTCGTTGCCTTTCGTCTTCAGGACTCCAAGCCAGGGCTTGCCTCGTGATGCAGTTTGATGACTTCCGCAATATATGTCCTACCCACCTCCAGTGTCTCTTCCTAATTTCCTCTTCATCTGGAAGTTAGTTTGTTCTCTACCACAGCAGGTTTTTGCTTATGGTATCCGGCCAACGGATAATGAATATCTTCTGTAGACAACTATTTATAAATACTTGTACCATCTTGATGATGGTTGTAGTAGTTCTCCACGTTTCAGCTCTGTACAATAGAACCGTCTTGACATTTGTATTGAAGATTCTGACTTTCATACTGTTTGACAGTTGTTTTGAGTCCCATATGTTCTTCAACTGTAGGAATGTTGCCATTAATTTTCTAACCCTCGCCTTTACGTCCTCATCCGATCCTCCTTGTTCATCGATGGTACTTACCAGGTACAAGAAAGTTTCCACATCTTCCAGAGTTTCTCCATCAAGTGTGATTGGGTTGGTGTTCTCCATGTTGTATTTTAGGATCTTGGTTTTTTCCCTTGTGTGTGTTGAGACGTACTGATACATAGGCTGCTGCTACACTAATTATCTTCATCTGCATTTGTTGATATGTATGTGATAGAAGAGCTAGTTCATCTGAGAAGTCCAAATCGTCTAGCTGTCCATTGTATTCCGTGCCTCCTCTGAGATGTGAAGACCCTCATCATCTAGTCAACAACTAGAAGAAAGAGGAAGGGGGAGAGTAAGCAGTCTTGTCTGACTGCGGTCCTCACTTAGAATGCACCTGTCAGCTGTCCTCCATGTACGGCTTTGCATTGTAGTCAGTCGTATGAATTCTGAATAATGGTGACGATTTTCTCAGCTACGCTAACCAGAAAAAACCAATCAAATCAAACCCAGAAGTTAATTAGTATTTTAAAATACGTAATGAGTGTTATCTTATCCAATTTATTGTTCAGAATTTATACATAAAACATGATTTCATATATGAATCTGTTATTTCAGTCTTTACCCTCATTCCATACTTTTCGAACGAACTGGTTTTTGTTAAAAAGAACTTTTATTGGTTGTTTATATGAAAGCGATTTTACCACTGATGACAAAAATATTCATCTGTTGACATGACTTTTTACCACCGCTAGTAGTGAGTTTCAACCTAATATATAATATTTTGTTAGGAACTGCTATGATCGTCTTATGAATAGCAATTAAACACTAACGTGAGCCTTTAACAGTAGAAAACGTAGTATTATATGTTAACGTATGTTTTGTGCAATCAATAATCCTAATATCGCCAGAAGATAAGTGGATTCTTTAAGTTGAAATCTTACGTTCTCACTTTAGAAATCAAACATTTATTGTTATTTCAAGTAGCACATAATAGTATTACATGAACACTGCTAGTAGACTGTATAAATTGTTTTGTAATTCGTTATACTGAATGATAACTTATCTAACGTCAAAATCACTCGTCTTGTAAATGGTGTAAGCAACATTATAGGCTGGTTAATCCCTGTACATATCATTGGATCGTGTATTATTTTGATTATGCTCTAGACATTTCTCTACTTTTAAAATGTTTGTGTTTACAAAATGCATGTCAGGCAAAACATTTATTGTAGGTAAAATAAAATTGCTCCGAAATTTATCTTGTTCTTTTCATTCGCAGTTATGGGTAATCAAATACTTTCTTCTTGCTATGCATTTGGCGCTCAGTTTTAGCTTGGTATTTGTCTTAGTTGTACTGTTAGCTGCATAACGTTTCCCGTGTTTCTTCGGTGGAGTAAAATAAAGGAAAAGTCAACACTTTTACTTTGATTTTTTATGAAGTCAATTTTTAACTAGTAAAACACAATCTATGTCATACTAAATAAAATGTATACGAACATTGAAAAGTTGTCTTTCTCTTTACCAGATCTTTTAATTCAGTTCAGATTTCATGTAATATTGATGTGATCAGTACAAAATGTTAATACTGTAACATTTTCCCTGTTGCTAACTTCACAACCTAAAAAAATAACGAGTGCAGAGAAATGTAGTATGTCTTCGTTTTGTAGAGCCTCTTACAAATGTTTTTTGAAAGTAAGTCAGTTATTTAGTTAAAGGAATTAAGGACCACTTTTATATGTTAAAACGTTTTAAGTATTCTGATGAGTTTATCAAAGTATCCTGATACTTTTTGATAAATCATAGGCTTAACCATTAAATATTTTTAGTTATTTAGTATTGAGCTATTTGATGTAATTCATCAATATCCCATCTAGAAATTCTGATTGTTTATAATGTATGTATAGTCTTAGGGAAGGTCTCGTCTATACCTTGACGAAAACTAAACCTCTCATAAAAACTGAATGTCAGTAAGTTTGCTATCAGTAGTTATTAGTTGATAAATCAACTTCAACGAAAGTATCTAAATTTTGTCAACACTATCCTACCAAAAAGTCATTATTGTTGGATTCAACACAATTTTCATACACTTCCATAACATAGACTAAACTAGTATATTCTCACACCATTTCTTTTGAAACATCTTTGTTTAATTTAGCTGAAATTAAAGTTTGCGTCTTCTCTTACCCAGCAATAACAGTAACAAATATGTGTAAACAATCATTCAGAATTTCTTGTTACGACATGATTCAATCTGTAAAAAATGGAATATTGATGTGCATATTTATCTTTTGCACTTATAAATCACAGAAATATCACAGATTTCGCATATTAGTGATATTATTATTATCAAGGAATATTATGATTTGCGATCATTATTATGAATATTAAAACCACTTTTCTGAATAACAACTATGCAACTGTAAATTATGGAGTTAAATGAAAACAGACTTCGAAGAAATAATTATTAACTCTTTAACACTTACGCAGACTAAAATAATGAGATTTAGTTGTAATTATCCGCTCATCTTAAAAAATTGATAAATATAATTCATATTAAAAAATTAATATACTGAGGGTCGTCATTGTGTACCTAAATTATCGTAGCCAGGATTTATCGACAGTGTTAACAATGAAATAACTATGACTTGTTTTGCTATTTTTCTAATGCAGAACAATATCTCAAATTACAGTTGATTATTGGTGAAATTGATGATTATATATCCTTCTGCATATTTGTGGTTTAATTGCTAGTCAGTTCTGGTAAATGGATTACATTTATTGAAATTAAACTAAATGATATACTTTGCTTTGAAGCGCATAAGGATCTCAAATAGACAAATTACAATATTTTTAGGTGATTTGGACAGTCAGCAGTTAATCTTTGGTCTAGGTTTCGTGATAAATGAAACTCGTCAGCAAGGTGTAGCTGGAACCTCAAGGGAACTGATTCTTTACATCAATCAGAGATGTGGTATTGATTACTTCTCTGTGATTACTTAAACTACATTAATATTTGCTAAAATGGCATGTTCTATCTAGATAACTGGGGACATTAACTTAGGTGAATTTACTACTTTAGCTTTGGATAGTGTATATATTATTTAGACAGTACGTAATTCAAACTTTAGCATCTTAAATGAGTTATATCAAAGAATAAGTTGGAGGATTAACTCATTATTGTTGAGGAGAGTAATTAGGAGAATATCAAAAGCTTTAGCTATTTAAAATCCTAAGTAATTCCGTTCTAATTTGTTCGCGAATTTAAAACAGCGATATGGAATTGTGCTTACCAGATTTATAGTGTTTTAGAGACTACTATTGAAGTGAGAATAAAATTAGTTCCAAACCTGTCATATTTACATCTTTCTATCTAATTCACTTTCTCAGGGACTAAAATCAATCTTATCAGCCGCATCAGTCTTTATCGCTTGTGAATTCCTTTATTATGCTTGCACACCAAGCAGAAATTATAACGAATTTCCGTAAATAACCCGAGGATTAGAATAATGAAATTAGTTTACCATAATTACAGGACGGAGTTGAATGGAGAATACTGGTGGGCGGCCTATGCTCCTCCATGAGGGGTAACAGGCGTAAGTAAGTACATGTACTAAGTGGAAGTCAATGTGTGAATTGAAGTAGTACCTCGATAATAACAGCCGCTCCTAATTATAAAAACGGTATTATAAAATCGGTAAGTTATTATTAACTGCTTCTGAATAAACCTTGGTTTCGAGATTAGCGTAATACACTTCTCGTTGTTCGAAAAAAACCTTGGTTTTATATCTATGTCAATTATCCTGAATCCTTCAAAGTCACTCATTAATTGATAAAGTGTAATGCTTATTCCAAGTATTCACAAATGCTTCTTATGAGTTAAGTCACTTCAAGTAGTACAGTATTTCAGCTACATCAATTATTTCGCATTTTCATCAATAAAAAAAAATTCTGGTGACAGATGATAGCATCCAGTTAATTTTTTCTATATTTAAGTCCAGGAAAAGCTTTTAAATTATTCATATTTGATATGTTCAATCAAATGGTCGAATACGAGTGTTAGTAGACACATTCAAGCATGAACCTACAAGGCGATTAGACTAATCTTTGTTACTGAACGAGACGATGCTAACTGTATTGGCTCTGAAAGAGCTAAATATATATAAATCATATCTTTTTAGAATTAAAAAACTTTCCTCAATAAAGTTAAGTACAAAGATGGAGAAACGTTTTAATCGCTGTCATTAAGCTAAATCGGCAATCAGTAATCTCTATTCTTAATCGATTAGATTCATGCTGCTGCATGGTTTGAATAACCGTATTGGAAGTCTCATTATATCTTTGAAAATAACGGTGTTAGTTGGTTAACCACTACATCCACTGATTCGAAATATGTATGAAAAACTATAATACCTAATGTGTTTGTAAAGATATATTCAAAGTCTGTTTCCATCAGTTCCTATCTTATACAGAGTATCGATGGGAAAAGAGGATCATCGAATAATCTTTTGTCCCAGTTTACGATCAATGAAGAAACGCATCAACAATACAAATGGTATTAATCCTGTAAATCTCAGTTCTTCTGACACCATTTAGTCACTTCACGATAACGTTGTCATCAATCTATATTATTGGTTTACATCTAACTTACTAGCAGCTTGAGTAACACTACTGGTCACAGGTTCTCACTCAAATATTGAGATATCCAAATTCAGGTACTGAGTATTGCTTCCTTCGAAGACACCGTGTCACTGATGAGTAGCGCTAACGGGCAGAATAAATAGCCTAGTGTTACTTGGTTCCTGGTGTTTATTTTGGTTGATGTTAATTCTTGATGAAATGTAACGTAGAATTGTATTTTGTTAAATGGACAATTCCTCTTCGTTCAATTATCGTCCTATGATAATTTTACTATTCGATAAGATAATAAAATACTGGAATGGGGGTAAGTGTTAAATGTCAGTTACTTTGCTCCCTGCTATTATGTCATGTTGTTGCAAACTATTTGTGTGGTATTGTCCGAGAGAGCGAAAGTTATTAAATCCTGAACAAATATTTCTTCTTAATGTAATTCAATAATGTACAAGAAATGAATATTGAAAAATTTCACTTATGGTATATCTGTTAAAAATGGAATGATGCTTGGAAAATAGACAACAATAATCAAAATCAATAAATTACTGTAACAAACAAGAAGTTTCATCACAATTGGCATCAAATGCGGGTAGATTTTATTGTTCTGACATAAAAACTCGCATTTTTGCTAAACAGCTTCGTTGTTGCATTATGAATATGAATAAAAATAATGTATCGGATGACTATATACAACATACATTCATTAGGCTAATAATAATTATATGCAACTTATTGATTTGTTATGATCAAATACCATCATTAACAATGGTGTAGTGTATACGGGTGTAGATGAGCATATAGAAATGCTATTATGATAGAAAATGAGTAATTAAAACTTATTGAAATTAAGTTAATTTTTTCTCACTTTGTTGCTTAAATACTCACATTGTTTCAGTTTGTTCGTTTCCGATTATAATATGTCAAAGTGCTGAACGATTAATAATAATTTCAGCAGTTTGTAAACTTGTTTTTACTTTGAAGGTAACATATAATAAACACCAAAATCAGCTGAAAATCGATTAACCGTTTCGTAAGTAAATAAGATATTTCAGTTTTCTGTGCTTTCAAGTCAACTTGAGACGGAACAAAGTTCTGTGGATCTAACTACTATGTTCGTTATTTTCAGAAACATACGTATCTGAATTACTTACTTACGCCTGTTACCCCTCGTGGAGGAGAATGGGCCGCTTACCAGCATTCTCCATCCAACCATGTCCTGGGCAATCCTTTCTAGCTCCTTCCAGTTGTTGTTGATCCCTTCCATGTCTGCTTCTACTATCCGACGTAATGTGTTCTTTGGCCTTCCTCTTTTCCGCTTCCCTTCAGGATTCCAAGTTAGGGCTTGCCTCGTGATGCAGTTTGATGATTTGCGTAATGCATGTCCTACCCATTTCCATCGTCTTTTCCTAATTTCCTCTTCAGCTGGAAGCTGGTTTGTTCGGTCCCACAAAAGGCTATTGCTGATGGTATCCAGCCAATGGATTCTGAGTTTCCTGCGTAGACAACTGTTTATAAATACTTGTACATGTTTGATGATGGTTGTAGTAGTTCTCCAAGTTTCAGCTCCGTACAGTAGAACTGCCTTGACATTCGTACTGAAGATTCTCACTTTGATATTGGTTGAAAATTATTTTGAGTTCCATATGTTCTTCAATTGTGGGAATGCGACCCTTGTTTTGCCAATAGTCGCCTTTACGTCTGCATCTGGACCTCCTTGTTCATCGATGATGCTTCCCAGACATGTGAAGGATTCTACATCCTCCAGGGTTTCTCCGTCAATAGTGATTGGATTGCTGTTCTTCGGTTTGAATTTGAGAACCTTGGTTTTCGCCTTGTGTATGCTGAGGTCTGCTGATGCACAGACTGCTGCT